AAATTTGGTGCTAGCAAGAGGCCCAGCCCCCCATGCTGCCATTGGTTTAGTGAGTTTCAGACCAGAGAGTCGTAAACATGGCGTAAGTCAGGCTGGCTGGCCAGGATAGAACTGTGTGACTCATGCTACAGCAGATCCAGAGTTTCATCGCCTGTGGTGCAGCAGGTAAAACTGATGAAGGTGAGGAGCGTGAAGAAAGGGAAGCTGGGATAAAAATCCCCTGATATCAGAAAATTATCCCACATCTCTCCCTCCCCAGGTAGAGGGTAACACCAGCCCGTTGTGGAGAGGAGGTACTGCAGTGTTTTGCTAAAGGCTGATTCTAGTGTATCCAAAGGGACCGTGGACGATTATGTGCTGTCTGGGGACAAGTGGGACTAAATGTGTCCACCAGGTGATCAGCTTTACTGTGATGCAGTAGAGCAGAGTAAGAAAGAGCAAACATGATAAGAGTGAATTTCTGAGCTGACAGGAAAGGGTGGAGGTCCTGTGAGCTCATTTGGAAGGAAAACCCTCAGAGTTGCTCAGGCGTAGAGTTTGAATAAGTACAACACAAATATCTACCATACAAAGGAAACGTTCTCTTCCTGTTTGTTGGTGTGAGGAACAGTGACCTGTGAAATGTGACTGCATTTTAAATACTTGGTTCTGAGAGCTTTATTTATTCCTCAGATCAGATTCCTTCTTATAAAGGATTCTATTTTATCTTTACAATTATTTAGTTATACTAAGGTAGGAGTTCTAATCCGACATTAAAAAGGATTAAATAATTATTTTCCCATCAGGTAGACAATGAAAAAGTCAGAAAAATGCTCACCAACAAGGGGAATATTATCGGCCATCTCTGGTTTTTAGAAGTTGCTCTTTGATGATATTGCTGCTGATGATCTGCACTTTATAGTTCCACTCTTAGGTCAACTGAAAGTTAAACTGTCACGTGTTTGGCTGTGTACGTGTGGTTTATTGTCGTTAGAGGAAGAAGACTCCCACCAGTGGCTGATTTCTGAAGTAAAAGAATGCAGAAACGTTTACAGGTTCCATTTTGAACATGTCTGTCTCAAAGTCTGAAAATCAAACCTCCTCTGGGTTCTGTAGTGTTGCTTCAACCGCTGTTTCAACTGTAGGAAACTGTTCAGTCAACAAACAAAATATGTCATCTCTCTAACTGAGAATCCTGTAAAGTCAATGCATGGATGATCTAATTGATCTGGATCTATATAGTGATCTAAGATGATCTGGTGGAACTGGATCTATAAAGTGACCTGAGATGTCCTGATGTGAAGTGCTGCTATAGAAATACAATGAACTGAATTGAATACAATAGCGCCCTCTTGTGGAGGATTTGTGATCCTGTTTTGGTCAGAGTCAGTTTGATTTTACAGAGATAGAGAAATGATTCAAAAACCTTTGCTACAGAAACAACAGTAAAACTGTCAAAAATATGTGTTGCAAAGAGACAAAACGATTTTATCCAGATGGGTAAAACAGAACTAAAGCTGTTCTGATTCTTGAAGGAGGCGGTTGCATTTTACTGCTCCTCTGCATCTCCCTGATAGATCCCTGCTTTTTAAAAATCCTGTCTTTTCTGAGCCCTCTGTTAATATCATCCAAATTCAAAACATTGGTTTTGTTCGGTTGTTTTTTCATTGCATTTGTTTAATTTTTTTCACTTGGATTTCGGGGAGAGGGGGCCCTTTCTTTTTTTCCCGGGCCTTCTTTGTTGGGTTCCCCCTTGGTTTCTTGGAGGGTTTGGGGGTTGTTTTTTTTTCTTTTTTTTCCGTTGGGGGTTTTGGGGGTTTTTTGGACTTTGGGTTTTTTGTTCTTTTTGTTTAGATTTGAAGGATACCTAATGTATCTAAAATTACAGAGGATGCAATTTGGGCATTGATCAGGCTGCCGGCAGCTTTCAGTTTTAAATAAACCTACTTTAAATCCCCAATTTCATCTTCAGAATTTTAGAGACAGTTGATTCCTCTCAGCTCCACAAACATCTCAATTCTATCAGGTTTTTGCCCCTTCCTCCCACAGCACTGGAGCCTTTATTAGAGTCACCAGTGACTCGCTGAGGTCCAATTCTGCATCTCTGCTCATTCTTCTCTGCAAAAAAAGAACGATGGGAGAAATCTCTGGAATACCTTTATAGGAGCAGATGACAGAACATTTAAAGGCAAATTAATGAAACAGAAACGCAGCACAGATAGCCACCTAGTACTGCATCAGGAGAGATGAACGATTGGTGGTATACCAATGTTAATAAAATTATTCCAGGTGCTGCTTGTGACTCAGGAGATCATTTTTCGATCTGCCAATATATTTGCTCTCACATCACTAAACTAGGTAAGACAAGACTTAACCTGTAGAGCAGAGTTCACCGATTAGCAGACCAGGGTCTGGATCTGGACCCACCAGCTGGCTAATCTGGAACCAACCTGATTTAAAACATTTATAAATTACCGCATGTTGTCTGACGACAGTATCTAACTTCACTTGCGCCACTTCTCCTGTTAATACGGTAAAGCCCTCCAGAGTGTTCGGCACCAGGCTACACGTGATCCAAATGATCCAATGAGCTGCTGTCAGTCTGGGTTGCTGCTGCCGCTACTTTTAGACACAGCAGGCAAACCTGTGGCAAGCCGGGCGATGGGGAAGAAGGAGAAGATGCTGAGAAAAAGAGAGCAGAGAAAGTGTGGACTACTGGAAGAACTGTGGTGAACTGGTGACAGAAAAGTGAAATGGTGCTCAAAGATGACCCTGAACATTTAGAGTATAAATATGTGAATCAGGGAATTGTCTATATACCAAACTGAACGATTGTTGTTCTCTGCTTTAAAAAAAAACTTTAGATTTTAAAATAGAAAACTTTTCATTTTTTTAGTGATATTTATTTATTTAAAAAGTCAAAGTATAATATGGATGCATAAACACCTAAATTTATTTCAGTATTCAATGCTGTTTAAAGTAATGGATTTTAAATTATTAATAATTATATTTAATAATTAAAAAATGTCTCTGGACCTTTACTGGTTGTGGATTTTCTTTATTCAGGCCCCTTTGATTTTGAATTGGTCCCCCCTGTCCTAGAGGTTATAACTCTATTATAGAGATACATAGTGTGTTTACACAGGACAAACTAAAATGCACACACATACTTATAGTACAATTTGAAAAGGCCAATCAACCCGGCAAGGATGTTTTTGAACTGCGAGGGAAACTTGGAGTACTTTAGGAAAACCCATGTAATGGTAAAGGTAGTCCCATTACTCCATGAAATATTATTGATTTTGTATTATTTAGTTTTAAATGAGAACAAATAGTTGGGTTGTTTGAGTTCTTTATTGTAGTTTTGTTTGAACTTTTTTAATGCATTCTTGTGAAGCACAATGACTGGTCATCCTACCTGTGGAAAGAAGTGTAAACATTGGTGTCAATTATTTTTCCTTAGTTTCTGTTTATGTAAAGTTAAAGTACCTACCTGTTCTTGGTTTGGCTCCTCAGCAGGGCGTGGCAGAAAAAGGTACGGTAGAAGTGCTCCAGGTGCTGCAATGCACTTGGAGCAAACCAAAATGTTCAAGAGGGTAGTTTTGGATTGTTTTTTTTTTATTTGATGGGGTTTTTGTAATTTGACTTTATATTTGTTTAATTGTATTGGCTTATAAGTAAATATCACTTTGGGTGTATAGTTTATTGTTTTGGTTTACGTTTATATGTATATTAATTTAGCTTCTTTTTCTTGATAATCCCTTTTCATGGTTCCTTCCTTCATGTCACCTGAATTCAGCTTGGTATAACATGCTGTTTGTTCTTTTTAGTGTGAGAAGGTGTTTGTTTGCACAAGCTGAAGTTCAATAAAACCACCATAACTTCAGTTTTGTCTTGTCTCTCCATTAAATATTGGGCCTCCCCCGGTCAAACTGACAACCTACTTATGGACAAGCATGACAAAATTTTTTTAAATGTTTTATGCCTTATTTTCTTAAACCTAAAAAAAAAAAATAAATAAACTGGCATCATGGTGCTGTGCTCTTTCCTGTATCCAGATGGAGGTGATGATACAAAAGAAAATCAAAGTATTGTCATCAACTATTGCCATTTATATATTTTTTTATTTTCAGAAAAGAACGGAAAAAACTTTGCTTTCACAATTCACTTAAAAAGACTTTAACAATGACCAATATTGAATTTGAAGGATCCTCAATCCGTTTCTAAGAAATTGTTAAACATAGGTGAGATCTTGATAGAACAAAGAAGTAGCTTTATTTATTCTATACAGCATGCAAGGACATTTTCTTTGGTAGCCTCTTTATAACTGTGCACGCCCCATTAGATATATGTAAGATGAAATACAATATATTGAATTAAACAATAACAAGTTTAAAAGCAGTATGTACGGCTACAGATGAGTCATTTTCCTAAGTTCTTTAGCTGTTGTCTTTTTTAGGTGTGATTAACCATCCGATACCTTTCATAACTGCTGCACCTCCTAGTGCTGCCATTTGTGTGGCTGACAAAGCTGCAGCTTCCCCTGCCATCATTGCACCACCAACTGCAGGTGCAGCTGCTCCTGCTGCTGCTAACATTAAACAACTTCCTGCATTCTCCACACGTTGTCCAACCTGAGCCCGCCATAGTTTATTCTGGGCCTGTTCGAAAAGCTTCCTGGTATAATGGCCTCCATTTAATTCTACTGCCTTGTCTATTATCTTAGATAGCTTGTTCACCTGAGTGCGATTTCCAATGTTCTCATTGTTAAACACAACATATCTACCTGCACAGTCACCAATGAGCTTCTTCAGCTTTTCACTTTTCTGCAAATAGCTCTCAATGGTGCCTTCAAGCTCATCACCTCTGGTGAAAACAACAACTGTGTACTTTGAGACTTCCTCACCAAAGTTTTTCATGATCCACTTTATGGTATTCTTCTCCTCTTCTGTAAAGCGTACACCAAGCCTGATGACAAGCAGGAATATATGTGGTCCAGGAGGAGACATCATGATACATTTTTCTATTTCTGTTTTTAAGTCTTTATCAGAGAGCTTTGTGTCAAACAGCCCTGGAGTATCAATGATGGTCACTTTTCTGTCGTTCAGGTGACAAGTTTCTTTTTGACATTCCTTAGTCACAGATGAAGGAGACGAGTAGACATTGAAAGCCTTCTTCTTCTTCTCTCCCAGGATGGTGTTCCCTGTTGAACTTTTACCAGCTCCAGTTTTTCCCAGGAGGACAATTCTTGTTTCTTTGAAAGAACCAGAAAAAATGTGTTGGAAAAAGTCCCAGTTAAAGACTGGTTTAGTTTCAGGAAGGTATAGCTAAGGCCTGTCAAATACATGGATAAGTCTCCTGAGGAAGAAAGACATACTGACCTTTAGCTGAGTCTGAATCCATGTTTGACAGGATATAAAAGAAGATCTAGATAAAGTAGATCTGGATCAACTTGACTTTAACTGCAGAAAAAGTTGTTTTGCTCTGGGCTCCAGCTTCGTGCTGTTTATGTCCTCAATTCTTATTCCTCCACCACAATAGTAGTCCCTCCCTTTTTCCTCCTTAGTTAGGCCAAACCTTCTTCCAGTGAAATGAAACTGTCCTGTGTATTAACCTAACCTGTTTAACAAAGAATGAACCTCAGAGAACAGTAGATTAGTTAATGGACCGGTTGCAACACACACTTATGGGAAACGTGGCATTTTAATAAGAGGTTTAAAATAGTTTGACTAGTTTTCTTTAACTCCACATTTAGGGTTGGAATTATTCTTTATTTTATGTATAAGCTTGTTGAAACCCTTATGTTACCAACCTGTTTACTTTATTACATAGTTTTCCAACCCATAGTGTAACATTATAAAATATAGAAGCTAATGAAGGGGAAGATTCAGAGGTGATGATTTTTAACAGAGAATACTCTGGCAGCAAGCAGTGGAATGTCCTTGATCTTAGAACGCTGTGTATCAGGGTGTGACTCTGCAGATCTATAAAAAGATTCTCTCTTTCTTTTTCTTTTTTAAAGGTTATTTAAAATCTTTGGGGGGTCATTCCTGTTAAGCCCTGTATGCCAGTTGTATATAACCCGAGCCATTTCCTTAGTCTGAGAAAAATTAAAGGAGTGTTTGATCCCAGTGATCACATCTAAAAAATAAAATAAATAAAACTGGGGGGAAAAAAAGAAAAGTAGGTGTCTTTATAAGAGCAAACACATTTCCTGAAAACATCTTTAGAGTCATATTGTAATTCCCTGGTGTTGAAACTGTTGGGATCTGGAGATCTGCCACCTGTCTCCAGCAGAGAGCGCTATGGGTCTCCTGAGCTGGAGCCTCCTGCACACCTGAGGATCATCAGCCCATCAGGAGACCAGCTACATAAGCAGCGGCCAGACCTGTCTTCAGTGCCAGAGTGTTGACCAGTTTTGGTTAACAGAACCTGATCCTCAGCCTGCACATAGATTCTCTGTCTGCTCTGGAGAGTAACCTGATTCTAACCAGCCTCTGTCTTCTCTGCCTTAGGAAACCTGATCGACGTCTGTAGCTCTGGAGGAGCTTGTGTTTGGAAACCTGCTTGCCAGCCCTAAGAAGCCAAACCTGAAGATCCTCAGTCTGAATCTCCCAGCTAGTTCTCAGGAGAGAATTTGGAGAACTACTCAAGGTCTGAACCTCGCTAGCCTGAAGCTAAGCTCTGCCGCTGCTAAGCTCTCTGCTGAACCCACATTCTCTGGACCCAACCGGTTCCCCCTCTCCACCGATCAGTCTGAACCTCATCAGGTACAACTCTGAATCAAAACCCTGTAAAGACGTCATAGTAACCTGGCTAACCAAACTATCCTTCTCTGCAGATTACTCTGTAAAACCAAGTCCTGGACCAGTACCAGAACCAGTCCTTGTTTACTCTGTGTTTGCCTTTCTTAAATAAACTGTTAAACTTTTACCCTGCTTTGTGTGGTGTTCTGCATGTGGGTTTAATCACAGAGACCCATCATGACAAATGGTAAAACTGTTCTTTAAAAAACATTATAGCTTTTGCAGTTTGGCTGGCAAAGAAGTTTATCCGCCGTAAAAACACAAATAACAGAAATTTTCCACCTTATTCTTTAGACCACAACAGGGCTTTAAAGCGATAGTTCGGTATTTTTGACATGAATCTGTATGGCATCCCCATCACCAGCGGCATGCAATCACACTGACTTACCCCTGGCAGCGTCCTGTGAGCAGAGTTATCGTCCAGTTTTGGTCC